ATAAATTTTGAGTTGAAAATTTAAGAGCATGAACCAATCCAGAAATTCATGAGGCTTTTTGCAATTTCAAACATTTTAATATCCAAACTCAATATAGTCCAAATTCTGACAAGGTAGCTATACTAAGTGAAATTTACTTTACCATAGTTTGAAAAAATGAAACAATCCCAAAACCCATGGTGACCGATACTTACTTCTGTTTTAGATGCATCATACAAATCCCATGATAGTCCAATCATTCGCAAACAAAGAACACAATACGGTGTTGTCCAATTTATATCATAGGTACCTCGGTTACATATATGAGAGCCGATAATTAAATATCCCTTTTAGTTGATAGCGATTAAAATTTATTTGCAAACAAACCATATTAAACACGAAAGCAAAGGTGACGGCAGTTCTCGAGTGCATAAACAAATGATTAACAAACAGTGTCGCGAAAATCCCAACAAACATATGCACAATATCAAAACCTAGAAGTAAAGACAATAAGGACAACATGAATCTACCAAAATTCCACAGGAACAAAAGGACACCACAGGTAAACAAATAAAGATGTCGATAGGAAATTTTCCACGAGCTTGCCTTCATGTTGTATATAAAAGCGATAGGATAACCTAACAAAAAAGTTAATAACAAAAATGAGCTATGCCGATAAACAAACCCATGAACATGGATAAAAGTAGACGAACAGCCACAACATCCGTACCCAGCCTTTCTGAAATGTATGATGCAAAAGTCTCCATTTCTATATGCAGTTGGAGAAACAGAAGCAGTTAACAGTGAGTATTCGTGACAATAGTTGGCCCAGTTTGTAAACTTCGTCGAGTTCAGCTGTGGAATATTTTAATACAAACAGAAAATCGAACAAATCAGAAACTTGATAATTCTGGGGTATTACGTTAACTAATACATGAAATCTCAAACACCTCCGTCCCCATCTAATAAATACATAATAAATTAAAATGACGGTCGTGTTTGCGATATTGTGATGATAGCAACAAACGAAGTATGGCAGAAGCAGGTTATTACATGTAGAAATGCAGAATTAGATGATAATTGTAATTAGGCTTCATTAAAAAGAAACAATTCCACTTCAAACGAGAGTGGTGATTATTGATTCACAACATGTGTCACTAAACAAGTAATTAGTGGGTGATGTCTAGACACTACAGATATAATGCACTTCCAGGGATCTCTACTGATTATCACAGTAGTTAAAAGACATACCATCTGATCATAAGATTAAACGTTTGAACCTCATTCTGAATACTTCGATGGTGAAGTTTTGTAATGTTAATCGTCCTTAGATAATGTAAGTCAATGCCAAGTACACAAACCTATACTGAATTATGATAGGGATACATTGCTTTCATGTAGCTAGGTGGCATATCCAACGTGCCCTAAATGACGGAAGTGTAACAAAATAACAATCGAATTTGAGCACCCTACATAGTTTACGGTGTTTTATTTCCTTTTGATCTAGGGTTGGTTGGAAAAGTAAATTACGTAACTGTGTGGATTTTTTTTACGTCAATAGTGTAAAATTTAGCGGTTTCTTTAAACAAACTAAAAAAATCATAATCGAGATGTAGTGTACATCCCACTGTTGGAATCTCCCAGATTAAGCAGGATGATGCAAATGTTAAAGTGAAGACAAAGAGAAAGTGCCAAATGGCAACAGGACCCAAATAATTAGAATGGTATCAATTTGTTGAATTAATCCATATACAGATGCGCCCGAATTCTCCCCACCTAAATTCTTATTCATTGGATCAAATCATTACGACCTTACATTATGGGAATATAACTCCCAAAACCAGAAAATATTTAAGATGGCCAAGAAGTTTACCGGTAATTTGTTGAAACAATTAACTGGAAAAATCTCATTAATGTGGGGCTCTGGACACTGCTATATCAACATGAGACAAAAGAGAGCTTGCCCCTAAGTAGGAGCTCATAATTTACTTACACCTAACAGTGGAGCCAAGAGGTAACAGTTATTACCGCACAGGAAACAATACAAGATGATTTGAACAGTGCGCTACATGAATGATAATAAACTCAGCGCGACGATACTGCGATCCAATAAAAAAATCACATGACGAACTTTTAAGTTGTACAAAACAGCTAGTTCTTTCTGCCAATGTGTTGACTTTAGGAGGTCTATGGCGGGTAATCGGCTGCATTTAACAGTGTTTGTTAGGCCTTTGACTGAGGTTATGCTAGCGAATCCAACAAATTCTCGAGCGTCATTTTTGCGGAGGGAACCAAGTTTGACGAAGACAGCTATATTTAGACCATTTGGCAGCCAGTTGACTGATACGACTTACCTAAAGGGTGATAAGTTAAAAATATATCAGTCAACAAGAAAAGAAAACTAAACAACCTAAACTATTATACGGTTGAGAACGCAATGGTATATAAGAAGTGACAGGACGAAACCAAGTTAATGAGTGTAGTATGGTTTGTTTCGACTTGAAAAGACAGTCCATAGATAGCAACTTGTTACTTAGGACCTTGTAGAAACCAGCCATGGCATCGATTAAGTTTGTTTATATAGGTAGCGCCTAACAGTTCAAAGCACAGCAACTTCATAGTGCTGTAGGGGCAGTGAAATGTCACTGAGCCCTAGCCAAACCATTCGGCAGTTGGGTCGCTGAATATCGAATAGATCATCGATCCCTGTCAAAGCCAATGGCAGCCAACGCGCATCAGTTAATCGTATACCATGAGCTGGAGCATGCGGTGGTGGTCTTGCTATGTTCTATGTACTCATTCTTACTAACATATTTCCACAACAACATCCTTTGTAGTATACGGTCTTCACAGCAACCATGGTACCTTGATACACTGAAGGGGTAATCCATGATAGATTCTGACCGCGAAGTTTGATTGGTTCGTCACACCATTTTTCGTCTAACTCGAGTAGACCTCCAATCATTCTACATAGATCATCTGAGTTGGTGATCTACAGTGCTACTAGTAATTTTATGGATATTTTCAGAAAGAACTAGCTTTTGTTCACGTTTATAAATGGTTTGAAAATAATATTTCCCAGTATCTTAAAAATTACTCGGGTTAAACGCACACGACGACAATCATAAAAGCTATATCTCGTGCCTGTTTGGAAGAGTTCTTCAAATCACCTGACTACCAACGTTGGTTGACAAACGAATTACAGCGATTGCTTAGGAGATTTGCGGTGAATAATGCAAGTCGTTTTATTTGCCTAGGATACACTTGGAACAGGCTGGATTCCGCAGGGATCGGTAGTGCACAGACCAATTTGCGACACTGAGGATCATCGTCGAACGATCAATTGAGTGGAACTCGTCACTGTAAATCAACTTCATTGATCATGACAAAACTCCTGACAGTGTAGATAGGAGAACATTATGGAAACTTCTTCGATATACGGAGTTCCTGAGAAGGTTGTTAACATTATCCGGAACTCATACGACAGACCACAGTGCAAAGTCGTGCATGGAGGACAGCTGACAGATGCATTCCAAGTAAGGACCGGAGTCAGACAAGGCTGTCTACTGTCTCCCTTCCTCCTCCTTCTGGTGGCCAACTGCATTATGAAGACTTCGAAATCTGAGGGAAAACACGGAATGCAATGAACAGCTCAGAACCAATTAGGCCTCAACATACACAAGGGGAAAACCAAGATCCTCAAATTCAAAGCGGAGAACAGCAATCCAATCACACTTGATGGCGAAACTCTGGAAGATGTAGAATGCTTCATATACCTGGGAAGCATCATCGATGAACAAGGAGGATCCGATGCAGACGTGAAGACGAGGATTGGAAAAGCAAGGGCCGCATTCCTACAACTGAAGAACATGTGGAACTCAAAGCAACTTTCAACCAATATTAAAGTCAGAATCTTCAATACGAACGTCATTGCAGTTCTACTGTACGGAGCTGAAACTTGAAGAACTACAACAACCACCATCAATAAGGTAAAAGTATTTATAAATAGTTGTCTGTGCAAGAGACTCAACATCCATTGGTCGGATACCATCAGCAACAGCCTTCTGTGGGAGAAAACAAACCAGCTTCCAGTTGAAGAGGAAATTAGGAAAAGATGATGGAAATGGATAGGACATACATTGTGGAAATCATCAAACTGCATCACGAGGCAAGCGTTAAATTGGAATCCTGGAGGGAAGCGGAAAAGAAGGCCAGAGAGCACACTACGTTGGGAAATAGAATCAGATATGGAAATGATGAATAACAACTGGAAAGAACTGTTAAGGATTGCCCAGGACAGGGTTGGATGGAGAATGGTGGTGAGCGGCCTATGCTCCTTCACGAGGAGTAACATGCCTAATTAAGTAAGTGCACCTGTGCAATATCTGCGACGGCAGGTTAGAGGACAACGAATTGTCGATCGGACCAAAGACGCGCAAACACTTAAGAACGGCCTAGGGTTCTGATTAATCCCGCTTCCCTGTCTAGTCCAGCCAGCTGAATCCAGAACACAAGTCTCAGCCTCGGAGATATGAATCATTATATTTCAGACATACTCTGTTTATATACCAATCAAAGAGACCACATCGTACCACAAAATAGAAAATAACATTGTACAATAATGTGCAGTAGGAAAATGACACGTGAAATAAATATTGACCAATAAGAAAATGACACCATCTCAAGTCCAAGGATAGAGTTAGACTTAACATAATAATTCTTGGGAT